TCGCTAATTGGATGGAAGCGCGGGCTTTGGGTTTAGGGTTTAGGGCTTAGGGTTTAGGGTTTATAGGGTTTAGGGTTTAGGGTTTAGGGGGGCTAGTGCAGGATATCGAGGCCACAGAGTCTCGGAGGATGCCCCACAAGTCGTGTTTTGGGAGCCTCCGTCTCCTTTACCACAGTCAAGTTCCCACATATCTCGTCTCCACGTGTCCTTTTGGCTCGAATCCAAGTTCACAGTCAAATTTCACATATCTCCACGTATCCTTTTGGCTCGAATCCAAGTTGCCGCTGTTTTGGAGGGTCCAGGCGCAGCCAGACCGGTTCAGAAGCCGCCATGAGATGCCAGGGCCTCTGCCTTGAAAGGGCGATCCGAAGTCTTTTGTCTTTATCATGTTGAACCAAAGAAGCTCTCATTATAGTACCCTTTCAAACCTTGAGGGCTAAAGGCCCGAATTTAGCGTTTAGGGGTCATAGGAGTCTGCGATTCTAGGGTCTCGGGTCGAACTTAGGATCGAGCGTTAAGTTGGATGTGATTTGTTTGCGAGTGGATGTAGCTACCGTCGTGTTGCATGTAGTCCGGCGGAAGTGTAGGCATGAACGCCCTGCGCCAAATGCCCTGTCGAAACCCCTCCACGGCGACAACGCAAGACCCTCACCCTAAGGGTCCAAAGGCCCCAATAATTCAGTACTTAGGTTTCGGATAGTAGTTATGTAGGACCATTTGGGAGAGTATACGATTATTAGGTACTTGAACCCTTGGGGTCAATGAATCCGAAGGCTTCGTGTAGTCTCAAGCTTTTTCTGGTTGACGGGATGGTTACCACTGAACCTTAAGCCCAAACCCTAAACCCCCAAACTCTAAACCCATTGAACCTTAAACTTAAACCGTAAAACCTAAGCCGTCCATTGAACCTTATAGCCTGAACCCTAAGCCCATTGAACCTTAAACCCTGAACCCTAAGCCCATTGAACCTTAAACCCCGAAGCCCTACACCCATTGAGCCTTACAGCCCAAATTTTTGAACCGAAACCCAGGAGTTCGGGGTTCGGGATTTCCAGTTGAAGGGCTCCGTGCTGCCTGGCGTCCGGTAATTCTCAAAGCTAACACAATCATTTAGGTTGTTTAGGCCTTAGAGTTAAGGGTTCAGGGTTTCGGGTTTAGGGTTTAGGGATCCTCAAAGGCTAATACAATCAATAAACATCAACGCAGCGCATGACCTCCAAGCCCCCAAATGAGGCCCAAAGCGCCGGCGCAACCTGAAACCCCCAAACCCTAACCCCTAAAGCTCAAACCCCCCAAACCCGAAGCGCAAGACAGACGGTCCATATATACTGCCATTATGGAACTAGGTCCCCAAAACCACCAGAAGGATGGTCTTTTGAAGCCCAGTTCCATAGTGGCAGTATATATATATATATGGAAGCTTTGGGAAAGACACTTCACAGGACTTATGGCAATTCGACCTGAAAGCCATAGTATTTGGGTCCCTAGAATCTGAAAGTCCGGTATATACCTAGACCTGCCAACTACCCTCAATAATAGCCTAGATGCTCACCATTAAGGGCTCCATTAAGGGCACCTCGGGGGTCCTACTGTTGATGATATAAATCCTGCATGACCTTAAGTACCCTAAACTATGGGAAATATGGTATATTCCTTGTTATGGGTAATGCAGGATGTATATCATCAACCGTAGTATGCCCGGGCGCCATCAGACTACCTCACCGTCGCCTTGCTGCTTCCTTGCGCACTGGCGGGTACCAATGAGGCCGCTGAGTGGAGCAAGTGGTAGTGGCTGCTTTCTAGGATTTAGGGTTTAGGGTTTAGCGCTGAGTTGAGCAATTGGTAGTGGTTGCTTTCTAGGATTTGCCCCGAAGTTTTCGATGTTGGTGTGGACAAGTTTAGCCACTTTGTATGCGGCCTGCGGTGACTGTATATCTGTGCTCAGAAACTGGCTCTGGGTGATAGGAGGTACAACGAGCTATGTGGTAATCTTGGGTCAATTTGTGTAGAGTCTTCTTTTTGGGGTTGGCCCAACAGTTGTTTGGCCATGTCACTAAACTCTGCTGGCGGTCCACAGTAACATGCCCTTAAAAGATACAACTCGTCTAGTGCGTGCGTATTCGCAGCATTGGCTTCTGAGCGGGTACCGACATGTTGAATGTGAATCGCTTGACCCAAAATGGGCAGGCCTAGCTAGGTCACAGCATCCACAAAGCCATCTGCTTCCTGCAGGCTTTAAAGGGACAGGGCCTAAACCGTGGCAGCCCCAAATCTGTCAAGGGCCGAAGCCAGCAAACCTCCATTTCTTAACCCTATCGCAAATTTCTGAATAGTGAAAATCACGCCCCTATAAACACTACTGGAAACTCCACGTACTAGCATACCCGAAAGCCTTCGTCTAAAGGCCCCTGTACTTGACTCCCCATCCGAGGTGGGTAAGAAGTTCCTCGAAGAGAATGCCAAGCGAGAAGGTCTAGCAGTTGGGTGTGGCTTAGCGTATGGGTTTTAGGGCATTTAGGGTACATCCCAGGCTAAGATACATCAGACTATAAACACATATCTTCAGGCTTGGGGTATAGGGTTTCTGGGGTTCCGCAGTCGGAGCTAAACCTTCGACCCACAACCTCAAAGCCATTTTGGGTGGTTTGGGCTTCGAGCTTACATTCAGAAGTCCTTATGGGAGTGGTGAGTGTGTTTGTTGTGCAAAGCGCAAGCACGTCGGGGTTTAGGCGTTATGGGTGTAGGGTTTAGGGTTTATTGTTTAGGGGTTTAGGGTTTAGGGATATCTTGCACACCGTTTCTCGAGCTGCAACCGGGTGATGAATCTCGCAGTCCTGTGGTGCCAAGCAATGTGTTGAATGTAAAATGAATCAACAGACAGATAATTCAATGACTGAAAATAATTAAATGACCATTGTATAGTTACATGTATATCTGATGTGTCTATACATGTATATGCATGCGTATATATACACATATACATGCATGTATAGCTTCGTCAGTAGCTTTGGAAACGGAGGCATTGTCGCTGAGCTGTGCGGCCATGAGTGTCCACAGAGATACAACATGTCTCTTCTCAATGTTCAATGTCGGCTTTGCGGCCCTTGAGCACTTTTGTATTGTGTTCCTTTGTTCAATGATGGTTCCCTATATCGGCGTCTCTAGCATGTCTTCGTGCTTTAGTTCCAAGGTGAGTAAGTAGAGTATCGGGTCTGAGTGATTAGCTTTGGAATCCGCTTGTAGTCCTTGTATCTAGTACGACTGTATTTTACAGAACATCCCCAACAACAGAATGAGCCTTACAAGGCATCACTAACCTAGTTAGAGGCCTAGCCCCACCCCCTCCCCGACAACCGCCTGAAGCCTAAACCCTAAGCCGAATACTTAGATAGCCAGATAGAAAATGTTAAACCTTTTTATGTCTTATATATATATATACACATACATAGAGGGTCTATCTTGAAACGTTTGATCGTTTTGGGGGCCTGGTTGTTGAAGAAGAGAGAAGAAGGCCCCTATGGTTGACCAGAGCAGGTGTGGTGACTTTGCCTTCCGGGCTGCAGTACAAAGTCCTCCGAGAGGGGCATGGTCTCCCGGCACGACAGGGCTTGAGGTCAAACAAGGGCTCCCAAGGCGGATCAAGATCCCAACTAAGAGCCCATGTCCGGGCCATTGTTGGATACAGTTTTACATTTTTGTTATAATAAACACCCAATAAGGATCAAGAATGATCATTGTTAATATAGCCCCAACAGGGAACCAGATATATAAAGGATCCTTCATCCCACCTTTTTTTAGGCCCTCGAAGAAGGTGGGTTTTCGAGGGTTTTAGGCATTCTAGGCTTCTAAGGTATGTAGGGTTTAGTGTTTTGGGCTTGGGCTTTTTAGGTTCTATAGGGTTTGGGGGGTTTACAACAGGGCTTACCGTTTACAGTTTGGGGGGTTAGGGCTCTGCGGCTTTGGCGTTTAGGGTTTAGGGTTTAGGGTTAGGGTTTGGTTTCAGTAACCCAAGACCTCCCTGAGCGTTTCAAGGGTTCTGGGCGTTTCTGGAGCTCTCGCGCGCTGAATCTGAGGCGAGAAGAGTCCCCTGGTGCGGCATGGCTGCACTCAGAACGGTCTCATTAACGGTGATTTTGGAGGTTTTTGGTTTAGGGTTCAGGGCTCTAGGGCTGTGCTCTCAGATGTCGCTTCTTGCTCTGATTACTTGGATTCCTCAAGCCTTGCACACCCTTAAACCCTGAGCCCTGAGCCCCAAACCACAAGCCCATCCCGCCGTAAGTCTGTACACTGCCCCAAATTGCTGCCGGAACCTTTGACAGACTTCGAAAAGTCCCGAAGGTGAAACCTCCAGCGACATCGAGTTTCCTAGCTTAGGGTTTGGGCTTTCATCCTTTAGAGTATCGATCGGGTTTAGGTTTGGGCTATATCATGATATCATAGAAGTACGAGGAGTCAAAACCTTCTAAACTCCTAAACCCTAAACCCTAAACCCCTAAACCCCTAAATCCCTAAACCCTAAACCCCTAAACCCCTAAACCCCTAAACCCCTAAACCCCTAAACCCTATCGTTTAGGGTTGGCCTCGGTCAGCTCAAAGATGCTTTGCGGTTCAGGGTCGAACGTTTGTAACTGGCAATGTGGTTGATGATATAAATCCTGCACTACCTCGAGGACCCGAAGCTATGGGAATTATGGTATATTCCTTATGATGGGTAATGCAGGATTCATATCATCCACCGTAGTGATTCTTTAGTGTTTTCCTAAAGGGTCCAAGTGCCCAAATAGCAGGGTTTCAAGGTCCCAAAGCCACTCAGAGTATGGATTTTGGGACCGAAAACCCTTACCATTTGGGTACCCGGACTCTCTGGGTTTAAGTGCCATGAGGATCCTCCTGGAGGCCATTCTATAAGCATCAGGCCCTCAAATCACGACAGCTCTACCAACCCAGGGGCACACCGTGCGAATGCCACTATGCCGGTACAACGCCGAGTCTGACGCCCGATGCTATCGACAAGGAGTGATTTCAGTAGGACGGGGGGTGTCTCCGACGAGGAACTCTGTTCTTTGATACTGCCAGGATCCTAGGCTGTATATGGTGCTGGTAACAACACGGCGCAGGTTTTTGCTTTCCAGGGCCGTATTTGAGCGTTGCCTAGAGTCTAGAGGATCATGCGCATTAGTAACTAGGGGTATCAAGTACAAATAGGATAGCTCTACCTAGAATTCGTTCTGGCCCCAGTTAAGGTACTTGCATCCTTTTGCTTACTACTTCCCGTGATCCTCCAAGAGCCACATCAAACATGGTTTTAGAGTCTGGCACACCTCACGGGCGTCGTCTGTTACGCTCGTTTCGAGGTGCCAACATTTGGGTAGTTCTGTAAATTAGGGTTCCGGTCTAGGTCCCCAATATAGTACAGCACCCATTTAAAAAGGACCCGAAAAAGGACCCTACTGTAGAGAACTACCCACTTAGCTATCTGCTAGTATGCCAAAGTTGTTTGGCGATCCTGCGACATCTCAAGATCGTCGAATTTAAAAATCGAGCCCTTGAACCAATACAAACCCTGAGCCTCACACCTAAGCCCTAAACCCGAAACCCTAATGCAAACAGGCTGTGCCGCGTGGCCGGCACCTTCGTGTCTGATCAGTTCGATCACTAGGCTTTGTGCCACACAAGCGCTTAGCGTAGTTCCGCTCCTGAGTTTAGCTCTGCTACAAGGCACCCATAGGCTCCACAGTAGTTCCTTTTTGTGGCTTGTGGTTGAGGATTCAAAAAGGTAATCCCAAAAATGAACTACTATGGAGCCTAGGGCTATACCTTCGATCCCGGGTCTAGCTGTAGCGGCACCTATCTTAGAGCCTTGCAAGCGATAAGCAACTTTTACATTAAGAACTTTTTTGGGGACACGATGAGCACCCATATTATAGTTAAAGCCATTGCAAGCCATAGAATACCTTATCAAAACCTCTTGAAAACCTTTGAACCCCCTAAACCCCTAAACCCCTAAACCCCTGAACCCTAAACCCCTGAATCCTAAACCCTAAACCCCAAACCGTAAACCCTAAACCACTGACCCTAAACCCTAAAACCCTGGACCCAACAGGAGGAAAGCCAATGGGCGGAGTTTGACTCGTCCTACAAACGAGGCCCCGAACTAGAAGGGTCTAACAGGGTCCCTACAGGGTCTATACCCGAATTAGGATCCTAGGGGGTCCGAGTACCCAAATAGTAAGGTTGTAGCTCCCAAAATCAATACTCTGAATGGCTTTTGGACCTTGGAACCCTAAAGCCTATAAATCCTAAACCCTACTATTCGGGCACTTGGACCCTGAGGGGATGCTCTTTGGGGGTTGCAGGGTTCCCTCTTTTGGAATACAGGATTTAGGGAAGTGGAGGGTTTAGAATTCCTGGTTTAAGGTGTAGTGTTTTTCTTTAAACATCCTAGAAGCCCTTGTTAAGTGCCCAGAGTGGAGGTCTTCCTGTCCTTAGTTCCATGTCTGAAGTTATGTATGTTGTATAGGGTTTTGGGGTTTAGGAGTTTAGAGTCTTGGGTTTAGGGCTGATGCGTTTATATAGGTTACCCCCTGTTTCAGGATTGTCTGGCAGAGCCTGTTTCAGCCAGAGGAAGAGTTGAGGGGGTCAAAGTTATAGGTACGCCTTATGGTTCAACCCTAAACCCTGAAACCCTAAACCCAAAGCCCTAAACCTTTTTTCTCAATCCCTCAGGTGCACCAAAACCTAAACCCCAAGACCTAAACCTTTCTTCTGAAACTTTCAGTTGTACCAAAATGCCTAAATCCTAAGACCTACACTCCTAAACTCCAAAACCAATTCAGCTCAGCCCCAAAACCTGAACCCCTCACAACGAATCCTAAAACTTCCTCTTAAGCTGATCTTCACCGCCGTGAGGTAGCCCGACCACCTTCGCGCCGAATCAGGCGAGACCCGGAGATAAGGCAGTATGTTACGGTTTAGGGTTTGGGGGTTTAGTGTTCAGGGCTTCGGGTTCAAGGGTTTAGGACAGTTTAGGGTCCATGGGTTGGGTTTAGCGGAAGGGGCTTTATGCGGGTGCCAATCGGTTTCAAAGGTTCGATCGGGGTTCTACAGTCAATAGTAGAGTTGCTCCGGAAGCCTACAGAAGAAGGGATCTGGGTTGGAAGGAGCGCCGAAACGCCTGCCCTCCCCTGAGGCCAAACCCTAAGCCCTAAACCTTGAACCCAAGAAAAACCCTGAACCCTAGACCCCTGAAAAAACCCTAAACCCTAGACGCTAAACGCCCTACGCCCTAAACCCTAAACCCCAATCCCTACACCCTAAACCCCAGACCCTTTTGACCCTAAGCCCTAGACGCCTAAACTCTAGACCCCAAAACCCTGAACCCTAAACCCCTAAACTCTAGACCCTAAGCCCTGAACCCTAAACCCCTAACTCTATAGACCCTAAACCCTGAATCCTGAACCCTAAACGCCTAAACTCTAGACCCTGAACCCTGAACCCTAAACCCCTAAGCCCTCAACAGCCCTTTCCTAAGCAGGTCATCAAGGGCTGGACTGAAGCCATGCAGCTCATGGTGGAAGGAGGGGTTAGGGTTTAGTTAAAGGAAACTACAGGTGGGGAGTTTCGGGTATATAGGGCGTATATAGGGCTTCTATAAACCTTCTACAAGGTATATAGACCTTCTATAAGGCTCCTTTAATCCCAAGCTTGTCTTCTGGCGCCTCGAGCTTCAAGACTTGAGGCTTTGCGATGTTTGGGCTTTTAGTGTCAGGGCTTGCTGTTTTTGGGTTTGCGTTCCTTCCGGGATAGAGGTAGATGTTACGATGTACGGTATCACGGTTTGTGTTTTGTGGTTTTATACGTCCTGGAGCTGCTCGTCATAACCTCTTGCATCGCATACTTGCGTCTTTCTGCCTACCTATATCCCCGAAACTCTAAACCTTGGTTGCCTGCTAGCCCTAAACCCCAAGCCCGAAGCCCTCAACCCGAGACCGGTTCGTGTTTGCATGGAGCCTTGCATCCATCCTCGGAGTTGTCTTCTTGTCGTTTTTGGAGGACAAATCCTAGGTAGGCAGGATTGGGGAGACCCCTCCAAGGGGACCCTTCCTAAACCTACCGTTGGCTCTCTCAAGCGGGACCTTATTGAGAGGGTCTTTTTTCTGCAAGGGTCTCCCTAATCCTAGCTCCTAAACAGACAAGCTTCCCGGCCCCACAAACCCTAAACTTCCCTAAACCTAAACCATGAAACCCCAAGAGCCCAAAACCCTAAGGCCATGGCTACCGGAAGCCCTCTGCCACGGTCAGGAGACAAGTGGCAGATGTACATCCCCTCCGAGCTTGGCTATGGCGATGGCGGCTCGGGCGCCTGTTCCTCAGCTTCCTGCGCGCAGTTCGGCAGCGGGTTTACCGCTTCGGCGGCGCAAAACCCTAAACTACCAAACCTGAGAGCTCTAAACCCTTAAAGCTTTGAAAGCTTTCAACACCAATACCCCAAAACCCCAAACCCTCAACAGCCAAAGCTTAAACTTTCCACCCAGAAACATTCTCACTAAAGCAAAGACAGTGTGCTTGAGTACACTAGGAATTACCCGAGAACTAGCTACTTGAGATCAGGGTATGTAGCTCTGACTGTGGGATGGCATATGATTATGAAGTATGCCTAGACCAATACCCCAGCAAGCCCAAAAGCCCATTGGGGTTATCGACTGTAGGGCTTTTAAGGCTCCTATCCTAGACCACGCTTTAGGGTTTAGGGTTTAGGGACCCTCCATCTACCCTCAATTAGACCCTAAATCCCCTTAATTTGGGACCCTATACCCCCTATTTGAGGGTACAAGGAGGGTCCTGGCTTTTTTTCCTGCTGTCTGAAGGCCAAGATCAAAGGAGGAGATGTGCTCATCTTCAACATGGAGAGACTTGGATGAGCACCAATCCTAAACCCTAAACTCTAAACCCCTAGACCCTAAACCCTAAACCCTAAACCCCTAAACCCCTAAACCCTAAACCCCCCAACCCAAATGGGGATTCCCGACGCCGGTACCAACGTGCAGACGGAAAAGGGTGCTTAAACAAAAAAAACCCCAACCCTAAACCCTAAACCCCGAAACCCCTAAACCCCTAAACCCTAAAGCCCTAGACTCTTCGACTCTCAACCCAATAGCTTAGGGTTTGTAGGCTACGGTTTAGGGTTTAGGGTTCAGGGGAATATCCTGGGATTCAAATCTCAAACGTGTAGTCGCGGCGGGATGCCGGGACTAAGAGTCTGCAACGCAGTAAACGATACTTCAGGAAACCTGTGTCCCACACTGGTTGTGGTTTAGCGCCCTTAGGTTTAGGGATCTGCAGTTTACTGGAGGGTTTAGGGTTGGGGTTTGCGAGTTTCTGAGCGTGGCTTTTGGTGTTTGTTGTCTAGGCTGACCTAGTCGAGTATATACTCCTCCTCGGCAGCAAGCAAGCCTTGTCCCACAAAAACGATAAAGACTGCCGTAGGTCCTCAAAGTACAAATAGGTACAGGTATAGGGGCACATTTCAGAGCTTATTCTCGCACAGGCGCGTGTTCAGTGCGCTAAGCTTCGTAGCCCGCTTTCCATAAGTTTCAAACGAGGTTCATGCAGCGTCGAAGCGCGAAACCCTAAACGCTGAACCCCTAAACTTCTAAACCCTAAACCTAAGGATCATGAAGATCAAGGGCGAGTCCAAGCCGGCAGAGCGCTGTGATGTGGAGACCCTGAAAGGCGGGGCCGGATCGGGTTGAATCTAGCATCTCTGGAGCTTTTATGGCTTTTGTTCCCTAAACCCGAAACCCTCAAACCCGTAAGCCTTGTCCCTTGAGCTCTTAAGCCCTACACCCAGAAACCCAGAACCCATGTATCCTCAGCCAAGGCCAGGGCTAGAGTGTAAGAGCTTCAGGTACGGTATGTGTCGGAATGAGGGTTTAGGGTTTAGAGTTTAGAGCCCGTAGAACCCCAAATCCTAAGCCCTCTCGAAACTAGGTACCCATAGGCTCCATTGTAGTCTTTTTGTGGTTGCTATTTAGGATCCATCAGGTAAGGTAATCCCAAGAAGGAACTACCATGGAGCCTATCGGTAAGCCTGTAAGCCTCAACACAAAGCTACATCAACGGTACAAAGTAGGCTGTTACTCACCACAAAGCACCGGAATTGGAAAATCCCGCAGGAAACCGGTATGAACAAAGTATACCCATAGGTTCCTAAGTAGTTCCTTTTGTGGCTTATATTTAGAATCCTATAAGTTAATCCCAAAAAGGAACTACCACGGAGCCTATGGGTAGCACTGAATATCACAAACAGGCCTTGGCCCGATGATACGAACCAGGTTGCAACGATAAAGCCAAGAGCTACATCGAGAAGCAGAACAAGGGCACTGCGGAGAAGCGCAAGGCAGGCCCTGGCAGGGCTAGATGAACCCTAAACCCTAAACCCCTAACCCCTAAACCCCTTAAACCTTTAAACCCCTAAACCCCCTAAACCCCTAAACCCCTAAATCCCTTAAACCCTAAACCCCTAAACCCCTAAACCCTCAACCCATCATGAGGGGTTCGGCTTGCATGTTTGCGCATTGTTGGTCGTAGGTCGCTCTTCCAGAATGAGCCCAACGAGC